TGCGTGACAGAATATGCAACGCAAATTCATACGTATACGCATTTTCTCTGATTATCCTCAAGCAAATACATTTCAGGAGAAGAACAAAAAAAATGCCGGAAACGAATGCCGTAAACAAACGTTTGGAATTTTCATGCGAATTGCGTATATGTCACGCAATCGTTCGTATTGTCTTTAGTCTTCAATTTGGATGGTGTTCGGCAGTTGGCATTCTGCATTCAGAGACAGCACTCCTTTTTTCTTTTTAAATCATGTATATATTTCTTATTTTATAACTTTGTATACATCAGGTCATTTTACAATATTGCAATATTTTTTAAAATAGATACAATTGCAATTATTTAAAACATCATTACAATAGTTTACAAATATAATACATAAGTTGTTTAACCATTCATCAAAATAAGTATACTTAGTGTCTTGTACCTTATAGCCAAAGACAAGAGTTTTATACTTTTTCAAGCTTAATTCAATTTTAAAATCATCTAAAATATAATTTTCAAGTGGGTCTATTACATTAGTAGGCCTACTCTATGATATTGAAAGAACAAATGTTTAAAGTATTCTACTTGTCTGCAAATATCACACTTGTCATTAACAATTATTTTCCATCATGATCTTGGGAGTCACTGGCGAACCCAGAAAAAAGCCTAAAAAGACCCTTTTGGTCAATACTGGGCCTTTTAAGGCCTTATTTTTCAATTTCAGGCCAAATTTTGAAGAAAACGGTCCTCAAAATTTTGGCCAACTTTTGGGTTTTAGGGAGGTTTTTTCTCTGACCTGAATTTGCCCCCCTTGTTGGTTCCCAGATCCGCCCCTGGAAGTAATTGTTTGCATGGTAGAATGTAATGTAAAAGTTTGTACAGGGTGACCGGAAAAAAAGGAGACCATTGAAGTAATCAATTTCTCCTAAACTAGACAAGTGCCATCAATGAAATTTTGCATACACTGGAACAGTTATATGGAAATTTGTTACTGAAGGTTTCAATACAAGCATTCAACTGGTTCAGGAGCTATGATCATTTACATAACATGCTCCAAATAGGCACAATTGAGACCAACGCAGAGTTGGATTCATATGGCAAACTACCCTTACATGTTCTGCCCTCTATGGCATTATTATGGCATTACATATAGCAGTGATTGCCTTCTTTAGGTCAACAATAGTCTGAGGATTGTTTTGGTATAGATTGTCTTTTAAATATCCATACAAAAAGAAATCAGCAGGATTCAAGTCTAGGCTGTAATGGCAATGAAGGGTTATCTGACATGTGGTTCATCATCCTGTTGCCAAAGTGCTGATTTACCCAATCTTAAGAGTCACTTTAGGTATTGGGCATAGTGCCATGTTACTAAAACCACTATATGGCACAATTAAATCCCATATGGAAACCAAGGGCTGCCCAAAACCTCCTTAGGATGATACTGTAACTGAGTGGGACCACTGAGTCAGAAGCCATAGGTCAGATAAGCTTCGTCTCCATACACCTCAAATTTGAATCCACCTGATTTCTTTTTGTGGGGCAATTTGAAAGACAATGTGTACCAAAACAATCCTGAGACAATTGCTGACCTAAAGGTGGCAATAAATGCTAAATGTAATGCCATAACAAGGTCGGAATATGTAAGGGTATTTGCCAAATGTATCCAGCTCTGCGTTGGTCTCAATTGCGCCTATTTGGAGCATGTTATGTAAATGATCATAGCTCCTGAACCAGTTGACTGCTTGTATTGACACTTTCAGGAACAAATTTCCATAGAACTGTCCTGATGTATGCAAAATTTCATTGATGTCACTAGTCTATTTTAGGAGATATTGCCTATTTCAATGGTCTCCTTTTTTTCCGGTCACCCTGTATTTGAAATTGGCCACTTTTTATTTTTGGATTGCTTTTAAAGTATCCAAGTATGTTGAAACAGCATTTGACTATTTTGAATTTCACATTTCAGATTAATTCAAAATGATTCCAAATATGTTTAGTTGCTATAAGTTCCAGCAAGATTGAATATATGTCTCTAGGACTTCCATGTTTATCCAAAAATCTATAATGCTTCAATTTACAGTCATAAAACCTTAAACTTACATTTGTATTAACATATACGTACATCTGCTTGCCTCACTAAATATTTTAACTCTATATTGAAATGGCAAAGATTGCTTAACAGTTATATGCCATCCATTTGACCCTTTTTTGAGCTTCAGACCCTATATTTAAGGGCTCAGCACCCGGTATTTGTAATAAATGGCAGGTTGTAACAATGTGCATGTTAATGCCTTAATCGTTAATGGATGAAGTGGGATGGGAGGTATCCCACTTATAGAGGTCCATTTAACATTAATGAGTTGGTCTTGGCACTCTGAAATGTTCCACTTGACATATTTCACTCCAATCCATCCAGCTCTATGAACGAGCACTCTTTCATTGGTAAAGGGTGTATTTGAGAGTAAATATCAACTAAACGATTCCTCCATGGGCCAGTATTTAGCCTAATAAAAACTGTCGAAAGACGAAAATACAGGTGATACAGATCTTCAAATAAACAAAGTTAAATTATGCTATTCTCATTGCAAAGTGGCGTTTACATATTAACATACATAGGGGTCTACAATTTTTAAACCAATTTTCTTTATGCCCCATGGGGCTTTTTGAGAGGGAACAACATTTTTCCAATGTGTGATGGGCGTTCATAAAAGGAAAATAGTTTTACCAAGCCAGTGGGCATTTATTTAGTAAAGTTGACGGCATCTTTTGAAACCAAAAATTATTCTTCATTTTAGGTACTCTGTTCGAGAAATAGAGATTAAATTCAAAAAGATGAAGTGAGTACATGGCGAAAATGAAACTTCTTGCGAATGGGAGAACATCCAATTTGATACGAGGACAGCCTGTCTTCGTTTCCAGTTAATCCCAAGTGATTAAGTTTAGAATGTTTTGTTCTTTGACATTTTACGATTTGATAAGAGACAGAGACTAAGAAATTAAATGCGACGAAATATTTTGACAACGTAATATGTGTACTGTTTATTCTTAAAGTTTTATGCGTTAACTTATTTTATCGGTTTCAAAATGTTTCATTTCATTTTGCCTATATAAAATATATTGAATAAGATAAGATCAACTGTTCCGTAATATATATTGTGTTTTGATGAGCTTTTTTAGAATCACAATGTAAAATAAATCCCCCGTTCCTGTCATTCTGGTAACGCCGTGTAATGGATGCAATTCAAAGTGAGAGCGAGATCTATACATCAGAATGCGTCCATGCCATTAATTTTGCCAAATACATGACATGAAACTGGCCTGAGGTGCGTCCCCCTTTATCTGGTAAATTATGACTAAATTTTTCGGATAACTGGGTTTCGGAGAACTGGGTTTCGGAAAACTGGGTTTCGGAAAACTGGGTTTCGGACAACTGGGTTTCGGACAACTGGGTTTCGGACAACTGGGTTTCGGACAACTGGGGTGCACCCGTGTTGCCTACCTTCATTTCAGCCATGATTGCTTTTGATGATTTCCCAGCCACTTTGTTCACATTGTCCACATATCCATCAGAGTCTGAAGAATCTGAGTCATCCTGGTGTAACGATTTCACGGATTTTCCACCATTTGTAGTTGTAGGGCACTTTTCAGCAAAGTGGTTCCTCTTCTTGCAGAGTCTGCATTGTTTGCCATAGGCAGGGCATTTCTCCTTTTTCATAATATGAGATGATGTGCAAAATTTGCAGGATCGTATAGCACCTTTTGAGCCGACAGGAGTGTTGCGTTTCGTCACTTTATTGACCACAGATTCATTGGAGATGTCCTTTATTTGTATAGAGGCTGCTTCTGCGCCACGGCAGATTTCTATGCACCGGTTGAGTTTTAGGTTCTTCTCCTCAAATAAACGCTTTCTCAGAGTTCCTGTATCTTTAAGGCCTATCACAATTCTGTCTCGAATCAGCGATTCCTTCATACAGTTGCAAAAATTACAAGATTTTGCCAGAGTTCGCAGAGCTGATACGTAGCTATCAAAACTTTCATCTGTGTTTTGATCCCTCATGTTGAACTTATATCTTTCGTAAGATTCGTTCAATTCGCCAGTAATGAGGTCCTCAAAAGTAGTTAGAATGTTCTTGAGTGAAGATTTCTGTTCTGCCGTGAGGGGCATTGCGTTATATATCTTCAAAGCGTCAGTTCCAATGGAATATTCAAAAAGAGATATCTTGTAATTCTCAGGTTGAACGTACAGGTTTGCCAGAGTGCAATAATTGTTCCATTGTTGCTTCCAGAGTTTCCAGTCTTCAGCGTTAATTGAGTTATTTTTCACTGTTAGACTTTTTGGAGGTTGTAGTCCGGGTACAGCTTTAAAAGGTACAGGAGCGGCCTGTGTCCTTTGAGTGTCCTGAGTTTCATCAACTTCCTCCATTTTAGAGACGTAGCGACTAATTAATAACTAACAATAGTAATTAGAGTCCACTATGCTGCCACCATGTTTCAATACTGTTCGTTGTCGACTGGTAATTGATACATAATGCTATAGTAAGTAAGTTTAATAGAGTAAACTTCATTCAGGCATCTTGAGAAGATGGACTTAAGAGCAATAAGTAGTAAGTCATTAGTGATTCAAACAGGTAAAGATACATATCATATAGTACATTGGATTAGTTCAATATATAAAGTAGGGGTGTTAGCATATATTGAAACAGTAGTAACATAGTCTTTGTATCACAATTATTTTTGTTTTCTGCTGGTTTTAAACTTTTATCTTATGTCATTAACTTGATGAATTGGCTTTAAGTTCTATTACTGATGATGAAATCTGGTTGAATGTATCTTGAAATTAATTTACTGGTACAGGGTGTAAGTTTAGATTTGTCAGCTTTGAAAAGTCAAAATGTAGTCATATCAATAAACCAAATAACCATAAAAACACTATTTTAAATCTGCATATTAGACCACAACTATTAGAGACCTGGAAAGTGTGAATTATATTATTAACAGTAATTATTTATTTTCCAGATTCACCAGAGCCTCGGAGACCAAGGCCACCAGAGGTGAAATACAGAGTGGGACAAGTTATCAAGCACAAGATCTGGGGCTACAGGGGTGTTATCATAGGCTGGGATCCAAAAGCTAGGGTAAGGGCAAATTTGAGTATAAGTTCCTTCTTGGAGAGAGGGCCACTAGAACTAGAGGGGTGTTATCACCCACTTGTGCGCCTTGTCCGTCTGTCCTTTATTTGACATATTAAGGTGATATTCTGAATGTGAAACAGTGTTATGGTATTTTTTAAACACTTATATTTCACTATTAAGAATGTTTGACATCATATGCTACATAAATGTTGTAATTGTTCGCAATTTTTAAACATGTACATGTTGATTTCAACAAATCATTTTATGGATTAAGATTTTTGTGAGAAATCACATGTTATTGTACTAGACTCTCTCTGTACAGCTCATGCAATAACCTAATGTTGATCACAACCAACATATGCTCATCTCAATGAATCAATGTATTAGGATTTCCTCATACCTTAAACAATGCTTTCTTTTTTCTTCAGGCTCCAGAAGAATGGCTACAAGCAAACCATCCACCAAATAAAAAAGTAGGTCATTAATTTTTATATTCACACAATTATGTACATGTACCTTGTGACTGTATGTTGATCTTGTAACATATTTGCACCAAATATTAGTCAATCAGTTAAATAGATTAATGAATGAATCTTTGATTTAATATTTCAAGTTAAAGGCAAGATAAAATATTAAAAATCTGCTTAAGATTGTTTCTCATTTATTTCTACAGGATCAGTTTTGATATTTACTACTTATTATCAAAATGTTTTCAATTATTCGAGTTATGCATTCCAGCACTGGCGTGATATGCCAAACTATTCCATATTAGTCGATACTCGTGACAGAATGTCACCACAAACAACTTACGTGCCTCAAGAAAATATAGAAATAGTCAGAAATACTGCAGTAAGTTACAGAACAGTAATATAAATGCTTCATTCTTTTAACATTTTCAATCTGCAATTTATGAGCATAATTGAATTCAAGGAGAACCATAGAAAAATATTAGGATTATTTTACTTATGAATAATATGAGTGCGTATAAAGAAAACAATTTAGGAACTTCGTATTTTTTTAATGTTGCATTTCAAAAAGTATTATGATATACAATAGCTCAACCCACGTAACAAAATGTGCACTTTTATTTTGCAGGTTGTACATCCATTGTTACATGAATATTTTGAACTATATGATGGAGCTCAATACTTAATGAGACCATGGCTAAACGCTCTATATCCACATGATTAGGAATCCAAATGACAAGATAACTACACTATTTGGTATCTATGCGATAAAGCATCACTCCTTGTGCACAGGTATATGGATGTCCAAATGATCGGGCGTTTAGAGGATTCATCATCTACACAATTTGGTTAATGTGCAGATACGTATCCACAAAATTCAACAACAAGACTGTTCGGAAATGAATCTACACAATTATGTATTTTTGTGACTCAGTTTATATGAATTAAGGATCACCATTGTAATTTTGAATATTCATGTATTTACATCATTGCCAAGATAATTCCATTGTTTATATAAAAAACAGGCTCATCATATGTCACAGATACTAGTTTTCTGCATGAAAAAAATCAAAATTCTGAAAAAAATTCTGCAAGAAAAAAGCAAATTCTGCAAGGAGAAAATCGAAATTCTGCACAAATTTTCAAAAAAGTCAAAATTCTGCAATCTTTTAAAACGATGAAAATTGACGTAGCAACGGAAACGGAAGTCAGCTACTTTCTAGGTAAGAACTGCGCGTCATTAGCGAACTCGCTTTAGCGAATTTAAACGTGATAGAATGTTGAATTTCACGGTGAAATCGTACTTGTACTCAATAATGATTGATTGTTGGACATAAACAGACACTCTTTCAAATACCCCGCAAAGGTAGGAGATCGTAAAATATGTAATTTCTGGAAATTCTGGTAATTCCGCGGGATTTTCATGAAAATCAGGGATTCTGCAAAAAATTGAAGTTTTGTCAAATTCCGTCCACGCCGCGGAATTACGGAATACTAGTATCTATGATATGTTATAATTGTTGTAAGTGTCTTTATGTTCTCTAACTCTCGTAATATGCCTCTACATAGCTGAGTGCTTCAAATTGCTGTGATAAAAAAAGGCCTTTACAATAAACACTGCCACCTTTTGGTACATCGTAGAAACTAGACTGATGATGTCATTTGTTGTGCTTTTTCAAAATAAGCAATAAGATAATCCTATTTTTACTTGGACAGATTGCAACCTCCAACCTATGAAATCATCAATCTAGCCAATAGTATATCCTGATATCCTAGCTTCTTTGATGTACCTAAAGGTGGCAGAGTTTATATGAATGGTCTATTATTCTCCCAACCACCATATAATGATTAAGCTATGTAATGTTATGTACATGTACTGTATGATCTTTCATGGACTTGTGCTTTTTCAATATAAACCAGAGAGTACATACTACAACATAGTCATCAGGTTGATAGAAAGATGGCAATAGTGTTTATTCTATTCAAAATGTAGAGACATGCCACTGCTGTTATTTAGCTGATGGCCCACTTATTCCAGAAAATTTTGTAGGACCTCAATTAGTGGGCCTTTTTGGGCATTACTTGGCCTTTTAAGGCCTTATTTTCTCATTAAAATTATCAAAAATGGGCCTTCAATTTTCAATAGGTCAATTTTTTCCTGAAATGTGTCCCCCTTGTTAGCTGCTGGACCCGCCACTTGTTGCTTGTTGTCTTTGGGTATTTATGTGTATCAATGTTTGCATATATACATACGCATCTATGTTAAAACACATTTCCCAAGTTTCTTTGCTTGACCAAGGTCCGAGGGTGCTATTCTTAGAGGATCACTATTTGTGGAAATTGTTGATGTGGCTTTAAGTCTTGTAAAGCTGGAGATATGATTTGTATATCATCCTCGCGCATCATGAATGGCTTCAACTTGGCAGGTAGGTATCCATCTTTGATAAGGGAATCTATAACAGCTGAATAGGAGACACCAGTCATCCCTTTTGTTAATGTGTATATTGAATCCCTTGCTTGACGCTGGAGACTTGGGGGCTCAATGAAATGAGCAGGATCCATTGCTCGGACATTTTCATCAGTGGTGGTGTTAGCACATCTAGCTCCATGTGCCACAAGAACACAATATATTTCTCTCAACCTTTTCCTTCTTTCTACATCATGAATAGAAAATGTTGAAGCCTCTATGATTTTATCAAGTACAGTTTCTCCATGCTCATGTGTCTTCATGTTAACATCAGCACCATGATCAATCAGAAGTTGCACAAAGTTTAGATTTTGTCTCTCAGCTGCAAACATTAGAGGTGTCTTTTGCATAAATTGCATATACATTTGTACATACATAACTTTAGCATTAACATCAGCTCCTCTTTCAAGGAGATCTTTTGCCCACTCATTGTCATTCTGTTTAATAGCTAATACCAAAGGAGTAACATTTTCAGCCTGTTCATTCACATTTGCGCCTTTATCCAAGAATAGCCGAGTACATCTAACACTGCTGTGGTCTAATGCCAACCTGAGGTAGTCATTTACATTAGTTATATCTACACCATTGTCAATTAACACTTTACAGCATTCTGCGGAATCATTCATAACTGCAAGCTTCATGGCAGTCTTTCCTTCTTGTGTGGCAGCATTTACATCTTCTCCAGAGTTAATCAGTTCTTTTGCCCATTTGACATCATTCATTCTTGCAGCCAACATCAATTGAGTGTAATCTGTGTCATGGCGAACTGGAGAAGGCTCTCTGGCAGCTTTCATTAATGACTCATCAGAATCTTCTGAACTTCTGAATATCAATAGATACTTCCCTCTTGTTTGATCTTTCACATAAACTATGTCATATTCAGCCCCATATGTTGACCATACTTCAAAACATCCTTTTTTACTGTTGTCCATTGCATATTGTAATACGGTGAAATTATCCAGAGGTTTATTAACATCAGCGCCATTTTCAATAAGGAATTCTAACTTCTCAATATCATCTTCCTTTGCAGCATACATTAAAGTAGGTTTTTTGCACCCTTCTTGCAGATCAACTGCCCTATCATGTTTTCTCCTAAGGTTATCCTCAATAGCATAAGCATTAACATCTGCCCCATGGTCAACCAAAAATTTCAATGTATCAGTGCTTACATTGATTTCCTCTTCAAAACACCAAAGTATAATGTCACTGGGGCAATCCTTTTCATCAAGAATTTCTCTCAGGTTTTTATTATCATTTTCAGCAGGGCTTCTTGTATGTCTTTCTTCATAGGATTGGTCTTAGCCATTTTGCTCCCTTATGTCTATTTTGCCTGAATTAGAAAATACAGTTTCATTAGAACGGTTGAAAAATACCTTCACTCATCACTAATGGCAAGTTCAGCAGGCCCGTAGCCAGGGGGGGTTCGCAGGGTTCGGGCGAACCCCCCCCCCCCCCTGGCCAAAAATTCTTTCAAAATCATGCAGTTTTTCATCATTTTGAGCACTTCTCAAGTGATTTTAGCCATATTTGGGCCAAAATTGTCAAATGTGAACCCCCCTGGAAATTCTTGAAAAATGAACCCCCCCTTGGCAAATCCTGGCTACGTTCAGTAATCATGTACTAATGACTATACTTCCTGTTCCGACAAAATCTATATATTATAAGTTCAGTGATAAAAAATTCTTCCATACTTTTATGGAGTCTAAACTATCAGTTTCTATCTCGATATATTAAAAGTTATAAATGTCTAACCTTTTGATTACACAGAGTTACTGTATTTCTCTTCAAAATCAATCTAGTAATGCATAGAACGTCCACAGCCTGCGTCACATGTGCTCTTTAGTATATTTTTATGCATACCTTTTTGCAGATCTGATCTCTCTGGCTTAGTATATTTCAGTTATAATAAAAACTCCACCCAAAAATTTTGTTCTAAATACTTATGCTATAAAAAGTGTCTTGGGTGTTCTTATCAAACACTGGTAACCTTATGCAAATATTCTTAAGCTATTAAGTGTTTAAAGAACAAATAGTGAACTCTTGTTTTGCTCACAATGAGTCATTCATCATTGATTATTACAATTTTATGATCATCAGTTAGAAAAAAGTAAAATAACAAACATTTTCTGAGTCACCTGTTAAAGGTGTTGTATCACACAGAAACTCTCAATGGACCTATGGCAATGTAATGTTCATTTGGATTGTCATGGTTCCTGAGTGGCATAATGAAAACTTCACTAAATTTGTGTTCCAGTATTTCAGTATATGAGTGTTCATGTACATATAACATAGCATGAAGCCGTGAATAGTGTTTTTAATTAAAAAAAGTAATACTTCACATATATTTTTGTAAGAGTATTAACATGTCACTTTATTTGTAATTCATGCTTATAAAACACCATAAAACATTGTCACATTGCATTGTCTCCTTAGAAATGCTCAAAACCTAAATACACCCAAAACTTATTAAGTCAAGTATATATGGCTTCTATAAACAGTGAATAAAATGTACATCTATATGAGCACTAGGTTATAGTAGGGTATTCAAAGCTAAATGAGGTGCCTTTGCAACTTGTACACAGGTAGTGTAAACACATTGTTATACCATATGTATATACAGTATCATGCATCAGGGCTGTATCTGGGGGGGGGGTGATCAAACTTCCCTCCTTCATGGCCAGCAATACTCTCAAATTGCACTATTTCACCATTTTGAGCAAACATGGTCAAATTTCAAGAAAGTCCCCCCCCCCCGGCTAAAGCTGGCTATGAGCCTGTGACTACAATGTAAGGTACATTACTGCAAGGATTTCACATTAAAAAACTATGGTAGGAATACATTTGGACAACTATGGTGGGACTTCTAGTATAATATGATGGGGTGTGGATACAACCTGTGATATGTAAAGTCAAATCATTATTGATTGATTGGCATTATTCTGTCAACATGTTCACCTAAATCTGCTTAGACCAGCTTAGTGTTCACATTTTGAGGTGTTCTAATTAAAAGGTGTTTGTATTTCAATATGTCTATATTTGTCAATATGCAATAATTGGATCATTTATACTTAACTGTATTTTCAAGGGTGATTGCTCATGTTGTATTTGCTTATTGTTGTACAGTATTTATTTCTAATGCATACCATATATGGTATTTGTATATCTGACCGTAGAATTTGATCATGAAGCAAGATCTGTCTCCTATCTATATTAAAATCAAAATGAAGGTCTTGAATAACATTATTTCCTATACAGTTCAAACTTATTCTAATATTCAGAATAGTGCAATTGTACAGGGTGATGCAAAAAGAAATGTTCTGTTGAATAATGCTTTTTGGGTCACCCTATAGAAGCAGTGAGTTGTAGAGTCAATTCTCTGTAGAAACATGAGCATAATTTATCTGTGCTATAAATCGAGAACAATCGTAGTATATTAACAAAACCATGTAGAAGCACAGCCTTTTTGAAAGCCATTGAAAAGAAGATACATGTACTTGTCTCTAATAGTGGCCCAGAGAATTATTTTTTGAGGAAATCCAAGATTTTTTCACAAAAACTAAAATATGAGGCCCACTTCAACCTATGCAGACAGAGCCTGTGGGAAATATTGGGTGCGGAGGAAATGAGCGGAGGGTGCGGAGCTAACGGTCATTTTTGAATTTAAATTTGGGATATTTCTGAAACTAAGCTGTTTTGGGACTTCAAATATACCAAGATATGTGTATTTGACACCAAATATCAATACAATTGTGAAAATAGTAGCGCAAAAAAAGTGTGTGATTTTATAAAAATTCGGAATGTTTTTCAGATATGAGCCCCCTCTAAATATTGGGTGCGGAGCAGCTCCATAAACGTAGCTCCGCACCCAATATTTAGAGGGGGCTCATATCTGAAGAACATTTCCGAATTTTTATAAAATCACACAGATACTGCCTGGCTTCCAAGATGCAAAAATAATTTGCATGGGTAGTGTATCTTGAACACCATTTTTTATGAATGCTGGGGACGCAGTATTAAAAGGATAGTCTCAAAATATATAGGTCTGGGAAATGTTTAAGGCATACTGCGTCGCTATTAAATGAATTACACTACTATTTTCACAATTTTATTGGTATTTGGTGTCAAATACACATATCTTGGTATATTTGAAGTCCCAAAACGGCTTAGTTTCAGAAATATCCCAATTTTAAATTCAAAAATGACCATTAGCTCCGCACCCTCCGCTCATTTGCGCCGCACCCAATATTTCCCACAGGCTCTGTCTGCATAGGGTGCACTTAAGCATCAGTAAGTTCTCGTAAAGATGTATAATTACTGTATAAGTGGTATTTATTCAGAGTGGTTAATTTCAAATTTCATCATTTTCCTAATTTTAATTTTCCTAATGACAAGAAACCTCCCATTGGATAACATTATAAAGACAATATTTCCGACATTTAATTTTCCGAACCTGGCAAAAATTAGGAAATAGGTAAATTAAATGATTAGGCAAAATTACCACTTATACAGTATTATGTTACCATCACATTGTTAAGTCTCCAACTTTTTTTGTGGGTGTTTGACATTCAGTGATCAGCATTCGGTATCCATAACAAATGGCAGGTGGTGAAATTTTGCATGTTTTAAATACCTTGTTTATTTTGTGTGATAGTTGTTGATAGTTCTGGTTATGTACAATAGATGTAGATTTATGTACAGCATCAACATATAGATACATATCAGGATCAGGATATGATTTGTCTAAACATGATAAAAGAGAGTATTTTTATTAGAACTTATTGAATGCCCACGTAGAAGCAGATGTGATGCTTGAAAATGTGACTAGTGTTTGGGACATAATTATGATATATGATGGTACTGTAATCATGTGTGTTGTAGGATTTGTAGGGTAAGGTGCACATTGTATTGTAATTATAGTCTTCCAAGTTCTTCTCCCATAAATGTGATGAAAATTACACTACATTGTAATTGCAATTCAAATCTGTCCGAAATCATGGACTTGGAAAAAGTTGATAGCAATAGAATAAACTGGTGTATATCAAATTTTGTGATTTCTCATTCTCTAACTTCATGATTTTGGTTCACATTTATGGAAGTAAGTAAGAATTACATGCATTTATAATAAAGGGTGCTCATAGAGTCTCTTTGCACTTAATTAACATAGACTTTGTATTGTATTTCAGTAATGTAGTGACTTTATGGAGCCCTGTGTATTTGTTATCACCACTGATTAATTTGACTATTGTATTTAAATTTATCTTAGGGAATATACAGTTTTCAAAATGAGTGAAATGCCCATTTATTAGAGGACTTGCTCAAAGAACTTGATTGAAATTTATTTGTATATATTCAGCAAATAATCATATGCATGAGTATAGTAAATTAATCATGTAAATTTGGAGCACAGTCTTTATTATAAAATTCATCCAAATTCACTAAAAGATCTTGATTCTCATACTGGTATATGAGGACACTTCCTTATTATTTTTCATTGGGAAGTATGTTTATTTAAACAATCCAGAAACAGAATTTTTTAGCAACCCCTCAAAAAATGTTTTGTAATAGTTTTGCTCAAATTTTAGCCAGGCTTAAGTAGTTAAGTAGAAATCCCCCAAGGAATTCAAGTAAACCAAAGAATTATGATAATTTTTATGTTGCCACCAAGCCACCATTACAAGTATATGTGACTGCCATTATTTGTTTGGCAACAACATTTGACTTTTGGCATTTGTAATAAATCTTTACAATAACTTTCAAGGTGTTGACATTTTGTCATGTTAGTACATGTATATTGCTTGTAATTTATTGAATTCAAAACAATTAAATGTACATTTCAAAACCAGAATATGGTCCAATGAGGCCTGCACAATGGAGATGGTTATCTTAATATAATACCATTATTATTGTTCATCTATTGGTAGATGAACAAAACTTAAAAAATTCGGTTTATTCTGTTCTGTACAATATGTATCAATTGATGGGTGGTGTTAATAGCAATGCCTTTTATATTGGCATGGTGAAGTTAAGGTTTTCTTCATCTTTTACCTTTTCAGAGGTTCCAATATTCACAATTATTTACTAAGTACATGTATTAGTATTTTCTAGAATCCTTGATAATTCAATTTCGAGTGCCCTCTTTTCAATAGTAGCCAAATAAAATGTTCAACTAACAATATGAACAAAATTGAAAAAAACTCAAATATTACAAGGAGGATATCAAATAAACATGAACAAGTCATCAATTTTCTATTATCACCCTGGAATAGCCTGACTACGGTAAAGTCAGATACCGTTGTCACAGATGGCGGACATAACCGTCGCTTCATGAAGATTTTCATGAACTGTATGTTTAATAGAGCACCTAGACTAACAGACTAAATTCCTTTGGAACAACAATCAATCAAAGTGTCTTCTCATTGTACAGTTAATAATGTTCTACCATCGAAATAAAGTCTTTAATCACACCCAATTCTCTTATACGTTGTAACACCGAAAGCTTACGACGTATACCCAATATTTTCGGCGGGAGATTTGTAAGTACTCATTTATTTCGACGTTTTGACAGAATATGGTCCTTTCCCTTTCGTGGAAACATTGACCATACCATGCAGATATACCTCTTGTATCACTGCGTCTCAACATTTCGTCTGAACACGCGTTTTTCGTATTTTCCTAGTACAACTGTCTTTTGAGCAGGTGTCCAAGGCATCATGTTTTACAACTAACCATTTACAGGAACTATACATACACAGTCTCTTCTTTATTTCCTGAAAATATGAACATAATTGAACTAGTATTTTTCAAGATATAGCAATTTCTTTGGGTTGCGTTTTTTTAACACCTGTATATAACTATTAAAGTGTTTTTGAGACCTTTTCAAAGCCTTAATTCAGCATGTTGTCGTGTATGCATAATACGTATCTTTACTTATTCATTTAGACGTAATATTGATCTTTCAATCCATATGAAG